TTGTTGGGTGTTCCCAATGTTCTCCATTGCCTTGATGTACAGTGAGACCCGAACCCAACACTGGGATATGTTTTGATCTCCCCAATGTTTAGCGAGTTGGATTGAATGATTGAAGTTTTAGAATGTATGATTTTGTGTTCTCACCACCATGGCCATGACTCCGCCACCACCCACCACGCGCTGGCTCCAGCGATGGCATCATGAGAGAGCCAGACCAAGATTGTCTCTGAGCAAAAGCCTTAAGCCCAGCAGCACCAGAAAAGAAACGACTCAGTCAGAATAGAGCAGCTTTGACAGCTGCTATAGGCTGGAGTGTGTGGACTCGTATCCTGCCCCCACTCATTTTGCAAGAAAAGATATGATCAACCTCGAAGTGGAAGGCTTCACATGGACCCAACGAGAATCGCTTTCGCTCCCTGCTTGTGCCGTCCTTCTTCTCGCGTCCGACGCGTGGGCGAGAACAGTTTTGCGGTGTCTCGGCCAGAGAAGGTCAGCCAGGTGACCGTTTTGGTATGCACAGCGAAAGCGAACGATGGACCACTTGGATGATGCTTTCAGAGCATGTGTTTCTTTTTGCTTGTCCTGAAGCATCCTGAAGCTGTAGGAGATCTGGTGTGGAACCTTGGTTGACCGGCTGGTATGTTAGAGTGATCCACAGTCTAATTCAAATCAACGCTGTATTGCAGAATAGACAAGTGCTTTCTCTGTTGGGTCTGAGCGTGAACCGAAGATCTGTGATCTGTGTAGATTCCGTTCTTCCCGTCCAAGTCTCCCTTGCAGCAATGAGAGGATCAACGGAAGATAAATGTAACCTTCCACGAGGCTGAGAAGGAGAGTGAAGGACGTTTATCTACTTTATGTATGTAATTAGTATAAATTAAGTGAAACTTGGGACAGTTTGGCATCCCAGGCAGCAACTTGGGACAGCTTGGAATTGCAAACCGTTTCTTCAGCTTGTCAAAGAGATCATGAATGAAGCTCTGTTCATGGGCCCTTCACACCTGGAGACAGCACCCGTTGGGTTCCACTTTTCGGTTCCGCGCTGTTCGATCGAACGCCTAGGGCCATGCGAGCCCAGAATCCCGGGCCTTTCAATGCTCAGACACAGCTCCTCGTCTCTCGTTCGACTCGTCCGCGCTTTGAGCTTTTTACAGTTGCACTGTGCCGTGGCACTGCGGAAGTTGTGGCACTGGATGAGTGGTGTTATAAGTACCTAAATGTTCTTGTTCCTGCATGGATGGGGTAGTTCTTTTTGTGCTAGACTGCAGGAGGACAGATCTCATCCTGAGGTAGAGACTGAAGCAGAAAGTTCTTCCACTATGGTCACTATGGCTGATGCTGGTCGAGTTGTCTTTAAAAGGTGCCAAAAACTGTACAGTAGGTGTTCTTTACATCAGTTTAAGGGACACCACCAGTCGAAACAGGTCACAACAAAGAAGGACACAGCTGTTCTCCGCAGCTTGGTGCTTGTTCTCCGCAGCTGTGAGTCTTCAGAGTACGTGCAATGCCGAGTCCACAGCAAGCAGTCGAAATGGCAGCCGAATCCCTCAATCAGAGACACCGAGACAAATCTTCAAACATCTTCAAAGATTGCAAGCCGACCGTACTCAAAAAGTCGAAGCCCTATTCAGCTCAGAGTTGGCCCAGTCAAGTCCTCAAGAATCTCTTGAGCCTAAATCCAACCCAGTGCAGAGGTTAGGTGGTTAATTCCCCCCAAACCAACTCTTCCCACAACCACTGTACAACATAGTACAGAACAAGTTCCTCCAGAGCAAATGCTTTGTATGAAGAACATATCATGTTTGGACAATCCACTGATATGGCCGGAAGACCCATCGCTGACCATCCACGCTTCTGCGCAGATTCGCACCGCCTTGGGCTGTCGGACCCTTCGATGGCCGAAACGGACAACGAAGGCCAGGTGAGGGCGGCATGGACTGCGTTCTCACAACAAGTTCAGGGAGGGAGGGAGGGAGGGAGGGAGTGCTTGGAATCTCCAATGGATGCATATAACTGCATTGCATTACCCATAAGAATGCAGATACAATACGGGGCTTCTGCCGTACAAATAAAACTGCAAGTACATGTTCATTCAGATAGGTCCACCCTTGAAGGCTAATCTGAAGGGACTGACGACTCCTTTGAAACGTTGCTGTCCATTGGTGTTTGGTTCGGACATTCGGAACAAAGAACAACAAAGTGACAATGCTGACCAAGGAGTATGAAGTTGACAGGTTGAGTCTGAGTCAGTGCGTCCAGCTCTGGAGTTTGAATGAGTTTGACCGGCTTTGGAGTTTGGAACTTCGGAATTGGTATCCTAAAATATATAAAGTTGACCAAACTCCTCGTCCATGTTTGAATGAACAATTAGCGCCGGCGCAAGCCCCAACATTGAAATCGTGCTTCCAAAGAACCGTTGTTTCTTGAAGGATATTAGACAACAAAGTCAGATTTTGCAGTGTAAGGTTGACCTCCATGTCGCCATGTGTAGCCCCCTGTGGCCATGTAGCCAATGATGCATCCCAAGGATTTGCACATGCCATTCGCAGTAGCATTCATCACGGATCGCTCCGGGGAATCAAACCGACCGCGCATGAAACCGACCCAATGCCAGGTAGGTATACGACCCAGGTCGCCCGAAAACGATCCAGTGAGACGTGTCAACAGTATGCTAGTCACTCTAAGCATATACCAAGGCGATTTAACCCTATGGGTTTGTTGAGTGGTCAATCGCCGGTTTTGATACATATGGAGTTGGCAAATATTGGCAAGTGTGGCCAACTGACCATCCATTTAAGATATCTTCAGATGTTCAATGAAAACCATCCAACTGACCATCCACTTTTCTCATCCTGATCGGTTCCAACCGAGGTGATTCCCCGCCCCGAGTCTTTTGGGAGGCATCGATGGAGAGGAGTCGCAGGTGTTTGCTGCGTTCTTTCTTTCAATAAGTCAAGGTCTGGAAAGTTCCAAGTCATTTGGCAGGTTTTGTGGAACCTGACTGGTGAGTGGTGGTGAGGGACGGGAAGTTTCGATTAGCTTCCAGAACAGGTTCCCAGACCTGGTTTTGGGAAGAATTCAGAAGAAGATGAGGAAGATTTGAAAGAAGGACGTGCCATACACCGCTCTTCTTTTTCTGTGCCTGACAGTTCACCTACCAGCGCTTCATACTTACCAGTTCTCCATTTCCATTGACAAAAGGATGTTCTTCAGTAGTTGTTCCATGGTGAATCCCATGACCAAACGCCATAGTTTGCGCACTTGACATGATCCTGCTAACATCCCATGGGAACCGACTGGAAGTTGCCAGGCCCCGGCGGAATCCGAAGAAGTCTTTCGGTTTTGACATGATCCAGCTGGACCTGAAGCCTATCAAAAGAACACATGAGGGGTGGCACCCATGCTCTCTATATATACATACTGCATTATACTGCAATATAGTATTAATATATATTATGTGCTTCCAATCATAGCACATGAATGGATGCTCAACGCATATGATATCATATGATCATCCAATCATAATATGCATCGCATCACGTCCGGAGCCAGACACGTCCTCAAAAGGGATGATATACTACTTTGAAATGAGATGGGCTAGGACTTGTGGTGGGGAACTCCCAACTCCTTTTGCAACACTAGTCCTATCTCATTTGGCTCCACACGATTCTCGCTCAGACCGGGCTCTCAAGACCTTCCACGCGGCAGTTCCTACAGGAGGAGTATCGTCGCTCGACGTCCGAAACCGTCACTGGTGAAATCGATGGTCGTGTTGGAAGGGACCGCGGAAGTCCCCCAACTGGAGAGCAGTCACGAGCTTTATTGATTGTTCCAGAAATCAATGCTTCACATGGGGTTTCAGGAGCCTTTGTCACGAACTGATCAACGGATTGGTCCGGGTTGTCCATGTGTGAAAAGACAAGCAGGTAGGGTGACGACTTTTTCCACAACTTCGTTTATGACATCTTACCTCCTTTGCAAGCCCTTTTTATAAGTAAAATATGTTCATCTCTGGCTGATCTTTGGTAGGCGCCTTATCTGCATCAGTCACTGAGTCAAACATGCCGAACAAATCGTCACCCAGAGTGGACTTTGATTTGCTCAGGCGAGTCCTATCCCTTCCGGACGATCCAAGATGCCCGGCTCGGGGTCCCAGGTGGCCTCGAGTCACGATCGACTTGGTTTTCTCCGGTCACGAAAGCCCACCGGTCGCTGTTGGAGAAAGGTCTTCTAGACCATCCATGGCCTCTTTCGCCATTGTTTTATTGAAGTTCGTTGAACAATAATCAAGATCGAAGGTCCAGCTTCTGGAGCTTGGTGGTCGAAGGGTGGTCGAAGGGTCAATGAAATGCCGAGATGATCCAAAGCAGAGCTGTGAGCATCCCTCAAGATACGCCAGTGCCGTGTGACTCTACAGCTCATGAATGTAGGACACTGTACCTAACAGCAGCTTGACAAGCCTTGACTGGGGACTGGGGGAGATTCCTCACCCATCAGTCCATCTTAAAGAGACCGAGGGATCAAGCCGCACCGGCGAGGCATGAGCTGCGACGACAGAAGATCCCCACGTCTGATTTCATCCGAATGTTTAGTCAGGCGCTGTCGACTGGGCCCGACGCGGCGACGGGGATCGGCAGATTTCTTTGGGGGATCCTTTTGGGCTGCGGGATTCCAGCGATCTGGGTACCCTGCCGAAACAGACATGTGGATCCTCATACAAATATCAGTTGGGTTTTGATGGCAGACCCAAGGCTAAGAGCTGCAGAGTCTGAAATGCAAGCTAGGAACATGCAAGTTGGGAAGCATGGAACCCCTCAAGGCTTGGCGCCAACAACCACAGGCCAAGACGACCTGAAGCAGAAGAAGATCACGAAGCCAAGACCAGAGCACCTGTAGAGATCGACGAATTTTGGAGTCCTTGGTCACCACTCGTTTCAATTAGTGCAACCTGGACATGATTCCTTGCTGGTTGATCCATTGATATAGTAATCAGATGCGGTCCCACATCATATCCTTGGGTTTTGCAATGTTTGCAGGTGAAATCACTTTTTTCCGGTCCAACTGTCCACCAGTGCACGGCTTTGTACACCCGCCATCCTTTCAGCGGCTCGGCGGGAAAACCTCTGCCGGAACCGAATCCATTTGTGCAACGAGTCGGCGTGGCAATGCAATGTACATCAGTTGGTGGCTGGGCTTAAGCAGCCACTTGAAGCGACATCAACAAGGCTTTCTGAGATGTCATTCCATGCTGTATTTGTGTTCTGTTTGTTTTCTTTGTATCTGTGTTATTCACCCGGATTCGTGATTGTGTTTATATATATATAGATTGGACACGGGCCTCTAGATCTAGATGCCTCTACTAGTTTTACCCTTTTGGACTTTTGGAAGATCTATTCTGGTCTACAGACACCTACTTTGCTCAGGGTGAGCCCATAGGTCTCGCTCTTGGGTGCTTCGGTCGGTGTCGAATGCATCCAGAGCTGGCGACCGAAGCATCACCAGCTGTGACAATTTTTGACTGCTGGGCTACCAAGACTCCAGCTGCTCATAGATCAGATAGATATATATATATAGAACAGTGCAAAGTGGGTGAAGATTGAGCTCTAGCGAAGCTCTAGCTGAAGTATTCTCAAGTATCTTCAAGTATCCTCCACTCCAGAAGCTTCAATCCCGCTTTTCATGTTCTCTTCTGAACTCAGTCAAGCTTTTGTTCTTTCAAGGCAACCGGTCCAAAGCCTTGTAAAGCAACAAAGACACCCACGGGTGATGTCAACCGTGGGGCGTGTTGGTTGACACGCGCGGCGCCGTGCAGACCCGAGGTTTGCTGCGAGCCGACGTCTCTGCCCTCCTGTTGGATGTCGGAGCTCCGAGGACCGGGACCCAATCCATCCATGATGCACTCGAGATCATGGGCTTAAAGGCTTTGCATAGTGACTCGGCAAAAGGCATGCAGCGGGAGAGAGCAGGAGATGTTTTGTGTGTTTTACTGAGAATTCACAACGTTTTTCATTTGGAGCCTTGAGAGCTTGATGGATTCAGAGAGGGACCTGTGCAACATCAACCCCGGTGATTTACACATCGCTACAAAAAAACTTGAGACATCTTAGTTTCCGGTAAGGAATAGTAAGGTCACAGCTGAAAATCCGAGCAACAGCACGTGAATATACCTCTTGGATACACTTCCTCGCACGTCACACCCGTGAGGTGGCTATACACAGAGTGCTCGCGATCCCGTGTGTGCTTACCTGTTTGCCCAGCAGCCGTTGGATAACGCTTTAGCCGTCCTAAACGGATATGATGCAGCCATGGATGAGCCCTTTATGCTGATCTATGAAGAGGCACGATAGATCTGGGGCCCCAGTTGTTTGGACGCAAAATTCTGAATTCTGCCTGTGCGTTTATTGCGTGTGCAGCAGATGGATACGTTTGGCCGGATTTGATTGGATAGGGATGGGGTGATCATTCATCCTTCACTCAGTCATGGGTTATCAGTGACCTGGTTTTGCGTTCTTTTATATAGTCAACCAACCAACCCAACCAAACAACCATCCGACCCGCCAACAAACCAACCAACCACCCAGCCAGCCAGCCAGCCAGCGAGCCGGCCAGCCAGCCAGCCAACCAACAAACTAACCAACCAACCAATCAATGGTCCCGGATGTACTGTCACAGTGTGTCCTGCACACTACTCAACTCTGGAATCAAATACAGCTGGACTTCAGTCACGAAGATTTTCATGATCGTATAGATTCTTGATGGACGCTTTTGTTGCAGATTTGGATGCAACTGACAACTGAGAAGTGTTGTTCTAGATCCAGCTCACATACTTTGATTCTTCCGGGACATTGATTTTCTGCCGTTCTTCCAATTCTTTCGGTTAGGTTGGAGGCCATCGCTAGTACGTTGAAGGCCATCGCTTCTAGGTTGGAGGCCATCGCTAGTAGTTGTTTCAGCTAGTGATTTCTATAGTTCTCGGCCAATCGCCGGCGCCAGGAAAAACCAGTCCCTTCCATCCTTGCCAGGTCATGGCTGCGATGCCCGACTCGAAGTTCCTGTTGACCATCAGCGATGCTGAAAGCTGGTATCAGAATTATGTGGAGCTACCCGCTTTTTCAAGCTGGAACACTGAGAATGTGGTTGGAAATGGGAAGAACATTCTATGAGAACATGAACGAGATCTCTCCATTGTGTTTTCATTGTTTTGGGGAGGGTGTTCTTGTGAACACTTTGACCAAGGGCAAGTGGTTCTTGTTTTGGCCAACTTGTGTGTGGAGAACCGAAGCCCAACTCTGATTACTCTGATTACTGGGCCTATTCAGTTTGATTTGCAAAAACAAGAAGCTACTAGTAGCTCCTGGCATCGCTACGAGGAACCCGGGCATCGTTACTAGTAGCAAGGACGCTACTAGTAGAAGGGAACCCTTCAACTTCAAGCCTCAAAAGTAAATGCTGACAATCCTGTTCGTGGAGGATCTGCCACACTGTACAGAGATTGCGCATATTTTGGCGTTTTGTCCTCCATGGGGCTCCCAAAGACCACCACCCAGTCAGGATGCCACCACTCAGGATGCTACATAGCAACCAACGGATACCAATGAGTTCTGGATGGTTGGGATGCCTTTTGAAAAGGGTTTAGCAGGAAACTCCTGATATGGTAATCTACAAAACAATTAACATATTATTAATTTCGAGCATGTTCGAGATCAGATCTTCCACCTGTGACATCTAAATCGAATGAACGGCCCCTCACTCCAAGCCACTCCACCCCTCGCACCACTTGGGTCGCGGCTCGGCTCTCTCGTGTCTGGAGCCTGAGTTTGCTTGCAATGACCGTCACGCTGAATGTGTCCCTCACAGATGGACGGCCTTGGTATTGGGAACCGTGTAGCGCTGTGCGCTTCTGGGGGTGCAACTTTGTGAATGGCACCGAGAAAGAGAAGAAGACCTGCCTCGGCCTGAGGATAACGCGGTTGGCATACCAGAAAGCAGAGGGGAGGAGGTGTCCATAGATGGTTTGGGCGAGCAGCGGAAAGGTCAGAAAAGTGTTTGGTGGGGCAAGTGGTTGTTGGTGGCATATGGAGACCAACATTTTTGGTCGTTTTTGATGTTGTAAGTCTTTAGGATCTGGGTCAGGGTCGTAAAGCACCAGAAGAAGAGTAATGCCCTCTACTTTGCGATAACATGATTTCTGGCATGTGCAAGACGCTGTGCGTCATTCATGTGAAAAAAGAGTTACTGCAGGTCTCGAGAACTATGAGAGGCATGTTGCACGAGTTCAAGAGGTGGCTTGGACAGCAAACTCAGCATCCCAGTCAGGGCCGCAGTCTTTAGATGTTTGTGCACTCCATCTCCACCGCTGTAGCTGGCAATAGGCCAAACCGGGTCGAAACCATGGGTTCCCAGGTGATTCCGGCGGAACGTTTGCTGATCTACAACTGGTCGGATGGCTGGACGCCCTTGGCCCATTTCGTGGGACTTCCGGTGACTTGGGCAAATCATGTTTGACGATGACCCTTGCGAGAGAAGCGATGATGTCAGTGTGTTTGCCACAGAATCAGTATACAAGTTCTCTTTTTCATGACTCCATGACGAAACATGAAGTTGTAGTCACTCGAGTCGGTACTGTAGTCGCAGTCATGTGGGGTGCGAGAAGACAATCATAGAACATCTGTGTTGAACATATATGACACATAAAGTCAAAAATACCTGTGCAATCGGCAAAAGGCCAGTTTCGTGGTCTTGTAAACGTGTGGTGCTGTCCACGTCCACGATCTACAATCACAAGATTTGGCTGATGGTCCGACTCTCTTGGGGCAGATCCTATAATATGATCTCTACATATTATGCACATGTAATTATGTATTTTTGATATCCAATGATATCTATAAATATATACTGCATAATATTCATATATATATATATGTTTTGCTCCAATCTAGGAATCTGAAAGCTTTAAACCTGCCCAGCTGAAAACTGTTCCTTCTTGGCACCCTGAAGATTAGAGATTGGGTAGCTCATTCCACTAGCTCTACCCTGCACCATGTGAAATGTGCCTTCATCAATGGCCGAGGTGCCAGATGCCGAGTTTCCGCACAAGGACGAGCTGAAAGAGCAGTTGACCTTTGCTAACCAGGTCGTGCACATGATCACAGGTTTTGTGAATGCCAACGAGAAGTCGGTCGCCCACTAGGACACCCGTTTCACGACGAAAAAAGGTCGTCCAGCAGAGCCCCAGCGACAAAAAGGACGAACGCTTCAGCGGCAGTGGCGTGTGACCCAAAAGAACTCATCCTACAACCGCCCCTGAGAAGCATTGTTCCCCACATCTCTGTGTGGGGTTCTAGTTTTGTTGGCTGGCATCCCGCCCGCATCCGCCAGTCCTTCCTTCCTTCCTTCCTTCCTTCCTTCCTTCCTTCCTTCCTTCC